TCTGATCTTTTGTAGAAGTTTCTAAAATATAGAATCATTTGAAATGATTCTAGAAGTTGCCATTTGAACATAACATATACTACACATAGTATGTTTTCATGTTTTGAAAATGCTAAGAGAATAACTTCACCAAAGAAAAAAAATTGGTTTATTATGAAAGAAACAACAGTATTAGACTTTGAACAGCTCTAGAACCTCCATCAGTATATATTTTTTAATTCAGAAACCTACAGCAGTAAAAAACCTGCTTAGGAATGCCACCCAAATTGGCCACTCCAGGCTATTATTGACTTTTTTGTAAGGCCACAAAAGATGAATTGTGTTTTGAAATTAAACTTGGTCTTAACAGCAGGAAGAATTTGGCAATAGTTCAATACAGTCAGTAAGATCTTTCAAAGCACCCCACCACACTTGCAAAAAAAAAAGAAATATTTGGCAGATGATCTACAATGGTGTGTGGAATGCTTTCAGTAATATATAAAGCTGAATTGGTAATGAGAAGCAAGCATTATGTAGGAGTCTCATGCCATTTGTCAACAGTTGTATTCTAGCAGGATAATGCAGCCATTTCCAGTGTTAAGGTCACCAAGGGCATCTGTCTATGCAAACTCACCAGATTGCAATTCTATTGAGATTTCATGGCACATGTCTATAAACAAGGCAGTTTCAAAAGAGGAATAGGTTAATTTCTTTCATAAAGTGTTACTAGGATAAATTTAGGTATCTCCACTATTTTGGCATAAATTTTCTATATTTAAGTTTAAAATGAATTTTTTACAATGAAAAAACATTCTTGAAGATTTTATTTTAGCTTTAAAAAAAAGGTTTAATCATTAAATTTATGATTTTCATTAATTAAACAATTCTGGTGTATTTCAGATAGAATCTATATACATTTGATTGTCAAATTTAAATTCAAATTTTTAAATTTTCTTAAAATCGGCCATTTTCTTAATTTTAAGAAATTTGTAAACAAACACAAATTTATCAATTTTGAAAATATTTAAAAAAAATTTCTGACACATTATTTTAGTAAAATTAAAAAATTTAAAGTTAAAGTAATCTGATTTGAAAGAAATCTTTCTTACTTATAGCATAAAAAAATAATATACAACCAATTATTAACGAACGGTCCTGTTCATCTGATCAACCTATTGATGGATTGTTGAATGACGAATTGATGACAGCTACTACGGATGACCATAAATGACAAAATTTTTAAAATTCTGAGTTAACGGTTTTTTGGTGGGTTTTTAACTACCTAGTAATTGTTAGAAATAAACATAAATTTCCGCAATTTTTAATGACTTTTATTTACCTTTCGAAGATGCAAAAATAAAAAAAAAATAAAATAAAATACCATGATAGAAGTAATTTAATAATTTATGAAATGGTAATTTAATTATTTAATAAATCAAAATTAAATGTGACTTTCCAATCCAATGTATATAGTTTCTGTCTGAAATACACCAGAATTTTTTTAATTTTTATAATAAATTTAATCATTAAGCTTTTAATTAAATATTTGTTCCTTCTTAAAGTTTTTAAAAAATTATTCTATTTGAGTATGACCCACACTAATGGAAATACAATACATAAAATAAAAATATTTAGTGAAATAGTAAATGAAAAAAAGAAAAATTACTTTAAAATTTAAAGTTTAAATTTTACACTTTTAAAGCTGAACGGAAAATTTGTTAGAAAGCAACTAAGAAACGAAAAGCAACTAAGAAACGAAATGTTATGAAAAGGCCACGTAAAGGGACAAAACTCTTGTATCACGTGACCTTGTTATAATAATGGCAACTTCAGTATATCATACATGGGAATAAGGAATGTATTAAGTAAAAAAATACAACATAAAAAATTATTTTAAAAAAAATTAGCGCCACTAAATTTATTAAACTTAGCAATTTTGGACTTGTAAATTTTTTTTGAACTTAATTACTACATCACCTCGAGGAACCAGCCTAATACAGAGCTTTACACGATTTTAAACTATAAATGATTATAATTAAAATTTCTTAAAAAACGAAAAAACTTTTGTAAAATTTAATTATTCATCAGAAAAAATTTATTTCTTCAGACAATAATGTCCTTAATATTACTTATTTACAAAAGCAATTAAAAGCTTTTCTAATTAAGTAATATCATAGTTTTATTGGATTCATTATTTTTCAATTCAGAGCAGATTTTCAGTTAGATATCTCAAATTTGAAAAAAGAAAGTAGGTTATTTACCATCTCCGAAGACTCATACTTTTAACAAAAAAAAATTTCAGGAACCAAAAAGGTTTTGGGCGAAATTTCATTAAATTAAGTAAATGTGGGGTAACATAATTAAAATAATATATTTTTTACCAAAATTTTCTAAAAAAAAAAAATATTTCAAAAATAATTTCATTCATTTGTGAATAAGTCCTGAAAATTTCACTAAAATCGGACAATTACTTGATTTTTACAAGAATTTCCAAATCAATATTTTCAACGGAAAAAAATCGCAAAAAAAATGTTATTTTCTGTGACGCCACGATGACGTAAACAAGAAGAATTTAACCAAAATTTCGAACATGTTAGAAAGGATTAAAAAAATTTCAAAAAATAATTAAAAAATACTTTGGTCTTTCATCTTAATAATAACATAATCATTTTGACGATAAAACTTTATTTTAGTTAAGTTTATGGCATTTTCATTACGCTGTATGCTGTTTTCCCACGAAAACAGTGAACATGTCTAGATAAATTTCATTTGAAACTTTGGAAAATCTTGCATTCTCAATACAAAACGGGTGTATTGAGGTTTTACAATCAAAAGGAAAGTGTTGTAATTATTATTGTCCCGTTCAAGTTTAATTAAGAGAAAGAATATTCACAATTATAATTATTCCTATTTTTGTAAAATGTGAGCTTTCAAAATTTATGTATAAATATGCACCTAGATAAGCAAGATCTTTGAAAGGCTCCAAAAAACATTTATTTGAAAGATCTACAGATAAAGCTGAATTGGTAATGGGAATATATATTCATATTATGCCTCTTGATTCCATGGGGAACATAGGGCCACAACAACACCTCTCCAACGGACGCAGTTCTGGGCGATCCACTTCAGCTCAGCCCATGTCATGCTGGCTGCTTTCACCTCTGTCTCAATGTTTCCCGGCTGCCAGAAGAAACATTGGCACAGTCTGCGCAATACCTGAAAGACAACATGCCAAACAGTCCTGGGGAGGAAAACAAGAAAACACAAGGAGTGGTTGACAACAGAAACATGGGCATTGCTCACTGAGAGAAAAGAACTGAAAGTCCAGATCAACCAGACCCAAGACCTAGAAGAGAAGATGAAATTGCAAACATGCTACTGGAAGGTAATGGGAAGCAAGCATTATATGCTTTCTCATGTCTCATGCCATTTGTCAACAGTTATAGAAAAAAGTTGTATTAGAATACAACTTTTTTTCGGGGAAAATGCAGCCATTCCCAAGGACATCATGTTTATGGATTGGCTTGCAAACTCACCAGATTTCAATTCTATTGTATTGAGATTTCATGGCACATGTCTAAAAACAAGGCAAACAGTTTCAAAAGAGGAATAGATTAATCTCTTTATTAAAGTGTTACTAGGATAAAATTTCATTTGAAACTTTGGAAAATCTTGCATCCTCAATGCAAAATGGGTGTATTGAGGTTTTACAATCAAAAGGAAAGTGTTGTAATTATTATTATTCTTTTCAAGTTTAATTAAAAGAAAAAAAATGTTCACAATTGTAATTATTTCTATTCTTGTAAAATGTGAGCTTTCAAAATTTGTATATAACTATGCACGTAGATAGCATTTAGATAAAAACTGAATTCCTCATCCTTTTTTTTTTTTTTTTTTTTTTATATATAACAATTTGGCTTTCCACTTTTTGGCTAATAGTTGGAATGTACAAGATATATTTATGGGGTATCTTAGATTTATTTCTTCCACTTTAGGGGTAGGAACCTTATCAATAGATTAAATTGAAGAGGTCTTGAAGTTCTTTGAATGAAAAATTCTTGAAGAAACATATTGGGTATTTGTTTTCAAGATGGAATCAGAATATAGAAGCTTAATTGGAAAATAATTTATTCTATGTTTCTCTTTTTTCAATTTGTTTATAGTTCTTAGTTCTCAATATAACAGAATGGTATCCCTGGTTCAACCTTTTACTGCATGAAAATGCCTAATGATGATTTGAAACAGGAAATAATTAAGATTAAACTAATTTCACATTTTAATCTTAATTATTTCCTGCTTCAAATCGTCATTAGGCATTTTCATGAAACTAATTAAGCTGTGAGAAACTAATTAAGTGTCAGAGAAAAGAAAGAATGGATTAAAAATAATAATTGGAAGCCATAAAATGAATTTGGAGAAGGTTCAAGGAAGATTTGAATCAACTAAAATTCATTAAGACTTGATTTAACCTACTCATTTGCCTCTAAATTTATGGTTTAAAATTTCCCAAATTCTAAATTCTCACAACAAACATTTATAGCTTGCCAATCCAATGGTTTTTTTAAATGAATCATTCCACAGGTGACTGTTTAGTTTTTCAAACAGAAAAGTCATATAAATCAAAAAACATGCAATAAATCAATGCCAGAAGTTTGTGAAATTCTTATATAAACAAGCCAATACCCAGAGACAGACAAGATAGTTTGAATCCAGTTTGAATCCCTACTCTTCCAGTTGCTAATAATTCTTTACTGCTTATAGACTTCTTAATTCTTTAATTTATTATCATTAAACCCATTGTTAGTTTTTATGGCTTCTGATTATTATTTTTAATTTTTTCTTTATTTCCTTTTTCTCCTCAATATTTAGTTTCCATGAGTTTTCTCACAGTTTAATCTTAATTCAAATTGTCAGGCATTCTTGTGCATTAAAATGCTGAACTAGGGTTAATTATAATAAACACAAATATTTGTTTTTATGTAAGACCTATACTTATACTTATTTTTTTTTCAAATCTGCAGGTGACCATGTTGCTAAAAAATCAAGAGCTTTGGTCCCAAACAGTATGGCTGGAGAAGTGCCAGAGAAATATTATGTGATCAGAAATAACGAAGTGGTCAAAGTGAAGTATTTGCTTATTTATGCTGACAAAACCTGGAATAAGTAAGAATCTCATTTTTGCTGTTCAATACATGGTGTAATATATTTTTTAATTTTATAATCTTTTTTAAATCAGTTATTGCAATTTTGTATTTTGGTTAATACTGACATGGGGATGAAGTAAGATGTGAAGAATTTACTTGCACATTGTGAATGCAACTGTTACAGGATATGTAAGCATATAACATGGTCCAGTCAGCCAATAAGCTAAAGGGCCCACTGAATATCCAATAATGGCCGTCAATATCGGATTTCTTCCATCAACCATTGGTTGCAGTGACTTCTACAGTTGTCAAAAAGTCTGATTGAATGTCCATGTTGTGATTGATCTCAAACGACCAGGCATCTGCTGCAAGAGTTGGTATACCATGGCTAATGGCAGCTTTGACAGTTATATAATGAGGGAAATGAAAACTCTTTAACTTCAACCAATCATTTACAAAAGGTAATATCAGAAAAATATAAGCTTAAAAAAAAACAAAAAAAACCTTGGAGTGATGGATGATTAAGACTTGGGCTCTTAGTTGCTCACTTTGGTTTTAGGTTGGTACACAATCATGGATTCAGGGGGTAGCCTAGTCAGTTCTTAGGCACATTCTGATTCAAATCTAAGTGATAACTCTTCTTGGAGTTCTCCTGTGGACTTTGCTGAACTACTCTGGAGTCTGTTGATCTGTTCTGCCTGACCTGCGGTTCTACTCTGCTTGACCTGCAGCCCTGTTTTCTCTGAAAGCCTCAAAATGCCTGGTTTAAATAATACTTTGCCCAAAACTGGCATAGAAATATCAACCATTCCTTTGTCTCAACTGAGATTTTCCAATTTTGGGCAATTATCCAGACCCTTAATGGCAGTGAGAGGGTAATCCACCCATCAAACTCCATCTTGCCTTCTTTGGCATCTCTGACTTCCATTCATTGCTGCCACCTCCTCTTCTTCCAACTTCCTTAGAAACAACCTGTTACTACTCTCTTTAGGGGTGTCACTTGATCTGGTTGACCAATCCCTTTCTAGGGACCATATGAAGGGGCAATCTGAACCGTAACTAAAAGCTAAGCATCTCAACTACTTTAATTTTAGGTGAATTCAATTTATGGAAAAGATTATTGCAAAAAAATTATCATCATCCGGTTTCTGCTGGACACTACCAAAAGCATCAAGAAATGGCTGCATGGATTTATTTTATGAAGAAATCAAATCTCCAGAAAAAGATAAAAAATATTTAATTCTCTTTTCTTTCAGGCCACATGCGACGCTTTCTCTAATCATTATCTTCAAGTGAAAAATTATTATCCAAATCAGCATCCCGTTTTAAGCCTGAATGAAACAGATTTTTTTCATCAATCTCAACCACCCGAAATTGCTTCATAAAAAACGACTCTCTGACCAGACAGCAGTTAATTTTGACATAGTGTTAATATCCACTTAGAAATCTACATCCATTATCTTTATCCATTAGAATTTTATCTCAACCAGTGGGTTTAAGTGTATCCATGTACGAACACTCCAGTCAAGATTTAAATGTTATCTCAACCTTTGATAAGTGTTTTCTAGGTCAGCTCATCCATTTGTAGCTGATAATGTCACAAGCTCACTTAATGGCACCTCATTGCCAACTGAGTAACCCAATCGGAGAGTGCTTGTTCATGCATGCACAGTAAGATCTATTTTGATTGGTTGCTAATTTTTGAGATATTCAAAATGGCTGGATACATTTTGGACAGGCTTAATATATAACACCCAGACCAAATATAACTGAAATGATTAATAACTGTAGAATTACCCTTTCTTAAGCTTTTATTGAACATAAAAAAGTGATTTTCAAAGCAGTTTGGATGCTCCCTTTTCTTTCATTTTTATACCTCAGCCTGAATCCAAACAATGCAAGGTTAACAAAACCTTAAGTGTAAATACAAAATTAATTTCATAAAACATTTAATCCTTTTTTAAATCCAAACAAATAGGTGGACGAACAGTACATCTAGATCTTCAGATCAAACTAGAATTAGTTTGCTTAGTTATGCAGATAGCACTGGAGATGGCACATGAGGATATACCGGGTGTAACAGCAAAATTCTCCAATTGTTAGATTAAACTCTGAACCGTTGTATCTTAGAAATGATTAAAGATATCTTACTGGAATTTTTATAATACTATTGGATTCTTCTTTGGGCAATAAGAATGTATACTTACTCAGAAGGTCATGAAGTACTGAAATAAAGTTCAAATATATATATATATATATTATTCCAGGATCATTTTCCAACTTATTCAAGATAATATTCGTTCTCTCTAACCTTCTGTCCTGGAGTAACAAGATATCCTACACGTTTCACGTACAATTTCATTTTCAAGTCTTTTTTCCCTGCTCTTTGGACTGTCATAGCTGAAATTCCTATCACATGCCAAACGTCTTATGAATGGAGTCAGATCTTTTCTAATTGAGCTCTAAGTTGAAATGATGATCCCTCTTCCTGTTGTGACCTCCTGATCCAGTTTTCCTCTATTGTTCCCTCTTTTTTAAACTTATTCACCTTTTTATTGATGGTTCTTGAATGGATTTTGAAGATGTAAGTCAGAGTATGAATGTTGGTACCTTTACTGAAAGCCTAAATGATCTTTTTCCTCTCACCATTGCTCAGTTAGGAAGACAGTGGGGCTGACACAAAATGATTCTAACCTGTTCTCTTTCTAGCTGAATAACTCAAAGGGTTTTTCAGTGATATTTACAAAAAATGGTGTCAAGATAAACACTAAACATAAAGGCTAAACATCTTATCTGAAAACTTGGAAAAAAGAAATTCAATTAGTTTAGTGGTTTTCTAGTTTTGTGATATGCATAATTATGCAGTAACACAATTTGGACAATTTTGCTGTTACACCTGTTAAGTACAACAGAGCAATCCAAAGATGATTGAATCAGTTGATTCTCCTGTTCATCATGACACTTATTTACTTTCCATCTGAGAAATGTTGCCTGAAATACTGTATAAAGTTCATCTTACTCTTTGATAGGAATTTTGTGATACACACTGCAAAGGTCTATTGTACTGAAGGATTGTGCAATTTTATTAATAGTATCATCAATGTGTGGAAGTGGCTAAAGATCAAGGAAAGTAAGCTTTAGGATTATCAATTGCAAGTTTTGTATTTTGTGATTCATCTTTAATACATACTACTTGTGAGTAACTGAGATCTTCCTTTAAGAGTCCCTGAGTTTCTTCAATAAATCTATGGCAAGAATTTTGCAGCAATTGGAAGACATTCCTGCTTTAAGCTTACAAATGATGCTGGTGGATTAACACAGATAAAACAAAGTTCACAGATCCCTAAAGTTACTTTGTTGTGAAGTTTTTGAAAATCTTGATCCAGGATTACATCCGAGCAACATGAAATATCTTCAAGTGAATCTCATACTTAAGCACACTCATATGAAGATACTCCTGGCAATAATGGACAGAGAAGTTGACACAACTAAAACAGCATTGTTGGAATCTTTAATGACTGGTATTTGATATCACTAGGATGAATGTCAGTCATTATCTTCTGTCTTCTTAATTATTGTTCTTTTATTATCCTATATAGTATTATAGTATTTTTTCTCATATTCTCTAATACTCAGTAACCCCTTGTGTTTTAGTGGCTTTATTGCTTTACTGTAGTTTTTTCTTCAACCTCAGAATTAGTTGCAGCAGCAGTCAAAGGCTGTCTGTACACACCCAAATTTATCCATGCTGCTTCGAGTGCTTGTCTGGTTGAAACATATTGGCCAAATCAAGTGTGCTATTTTTTTCAATAATCATTGATGACTGCAAACCATGTATAAGGGCATCTCTGATGGATTACTCCCAGTACTGAGTTGCAGTTACCATTTTACAATTACAAATTGCTTAAAACATTCACAGCTTATGCATCTTATGATCTCTCAGCTCTGTTGATGACAGATGACCAGTGTCACGCGAAACTTTCATGTCACTTTGATATACTGCAACTGTATCATGATGATGGCATTTTCATAAGTAGTACATTCAGATATGGCGTTATGTATTTTAGATGTGGCAAGATCTGTAAGAATTTGTAGTCTATCTAGCAAAGCTGAAAATTAATGTCATTTTGGTGATGATAGAACATTAGTTTGGAATGACTGGTTAGGAGTTTTGAAATTATACAAAAGTTTTCATTAAATTTATTCTAAAAGTAACTAATTACTATCTATCTATCTATCTATATATATATATATATACACACACACACACACACTATTCTGCCTGACCTGTGGTATAGTGTGAGGTTTTATGATCAGTTTTTACACAAAAAATAGGTGGCCACACTATACACAGGTAAATTTTTCTCGGTTGGTTAAAATTCATGCAAAAAATTAAAAAAAACAAAAAAACATTATGCATGATGCATTGAGTTGGCTTACCGTATATACTCACAGATAGGTTGCATCCTTACTTTATGGCTTAATAATGGATGATTTACTGTTGACTTGCAGATAAGTTGTGGCATAATCTGAGGAGTTACATGGCTTTTTTTTTTTTTTTAAATGTAAGAATTATCAGATCTCTACTTTTATTTCAAAACTTACAATTATTAATACACTTTTGCAGTTAAAATACATTTTGTCAATCATGTAAAGAAAAGGAAGTAACTTTTGTACTGGTATTTTTATATTTACCACATTTTTATACCAAATCAACTCAACAAAAAAAAAAGAAATATCTACAGACAGAAGAAAATGTTAAGGTACATTTAAAAAAAAACAAACTCCAAACTGCCTTTCTGCTGATCGATTGCCATCTTCCTCTGCATAATTTAGTACTTTTAATTTAAAACCTACTTCATAATTCTTTCTTTTACTCATGATTAGGGTTTGCAACAATTACAATTATAAACTATAAATTTGGCTACTAATTATAATGCTGCACAATGCAAAATATTGCAAACGTGTTGGGTACTAGATTCATGCACTTTGTTATTTGTAAATAACACTTGAAGAACGCCTTTTAATGTTATATGAAACAACCATTAAAAAAAAAATTATCTCATAAAGAATACATTTAATTTCTTCAAGTCATATTTTCCAATGTTTTTTTTTTTTTTTTGACAAAATATATATATTTTGCAGAAGGAATCATGCAACTATTTTTTCTTTGTCAATAAATATCTACACGTAGTTCCTCAACTTATGTATGCATGTTCAGGGTTTCTATATTAGTCTAGTGCATGGTCCCCAACCTAACAGTGACTGATGGATCAATGAATATTTTATAATTTTATTGTGATGGATATGTGAATCTAGCAGCTTGAGGTAAGTTTAAAACAGTGAGTCAGAATATATGATAGAAAAATTGTTTCTATATGGAGAAAAATCACAGCTTTAGTGTTTATAGTATCATTTCAGATTTCTCAGAAAATCATGATGACAAGGTAGTGTTGTTTTACATTTATGTTGAATGGATAGGTTGTACCCCTAATATCTTGTGAAAGTTTTGGTAAAAAATGTACAACCTATCCACGAGTATATATGGCATCTACAAGTATAGTATCTTAAAAAAAATGTCCTACTCCTCACCAACAAAATTTAAGCATTTCTTTTTAAACTGGTGAATAAAGCCCAAATGAAAAATGATGGTTAAATTTAGATTTTTGTATTATTTCAAAACATGAAAAATATTAGAATCTAATTGTAAAAAACTAATTTTGCTTTAATAAATAAAATATCTTTTTGTCAATTTTTGGTTAAAATAAAAACTTGAATAAACCATTAACAATATTTGTTATGTTTTCTGTTTAAAATAAACTCAATTGAAAATATAAATAGAATTTAAAAATTAAATCTTAAAAAGTCTTCTTATTTGTGATGTTTTATTAATTTCAATACTTGCAAATATTCTTTGCATGTTTTAATATCAAATTTAACATTTTATTTTCTTTCATTCAGCAGGTTACCTAATCAAATCTCCTGGTTCAGACAACACAAGTTTGCACTTCTGATGACCATCTATGTTTTGTTGTTAGTAACAATTGGCTTGTCCAATTCAAAGCAGTTTAAACAAAGTATGCGTCGCATCTTTAAATCATGAACTTTGATAGCAGCAGCAATGCTGTCATTCTAATAAAATGTTGACTAAAACTCCCTCTCTTTCTCCCCTACTGGCAAAAAGGATTTACACAACCCATTTTCTCTTGCTCATACTCAGTGTATTCTATGCCTTATACTCATCAACTGAATACAGACTCAGACATTGCATGCATATAATACTTGCTGATGTATATTAACATCTTTCTTGGACTATTTTTTCTTAAGATTTTTTTTTAGAGATTTATTTTCTTTTCATTTAAAATTGTCAATTTGTTTTCACAATAATGTAAAAACTGATAATTTTAAATGCTTCTTATGAGTAAAAGAGTATTTTTCATTAAATTTTTTTAAGCAATGTTCAGTATTAAGTAATTTTTCATTCTTTATATTTTTTATGTTAACATTCAAATTATTTTATAATAGTTTGATACTTTAAAAAATATATGAAAATACATATGTGCTATAAAGGTTAATTTGCAGATTTATTTAATACATAGTCACATTAAAAATGTAGTAAAATTTCTACTCTTTAGAGTCTAAGAATGTTTTATAGGTTGCATTACAGTTTGTTTTTGTTATCTGACAATGTACATCAGTTATGGAAATCAAGAATAAAAATTATAACATCTGTCTATAACATTAAATGTCAACCTTTTTGTGGTGTTTATAGGAATTTGAAAGTATTAGCTCTGCTTCATATATTTGAACCTGATGCTTATAATAGGGTTTCACCAGTTAAATATTTGCCAAACTCTCTCATTTTTTAAATGTATATAAGTTGCATCAATTTATAAACATTCTATATTATTTTTGTATGCTCCTTGTACCATTCTGAAATTCTCTCCATTTCATTATCTCCACAAATTACTTTTGGTCAGTTATATCAAAAATGACTACTTCTGATGACCATCTCAGTTTATTAAAGGATATTGTTTTGAAACAAGAAGGGGATTGTTTTGAAAAATTATCATCAGCATTATCAGTGAAATTTAGGAAATCTTTCAGAGATTTTTGGAATATAAAGGAAAATGGGTAAAAAAAAAAAAAAATGAGGATTTATAAAATTTAACTTTTGAATAGGGACATAGATTAAGTGTAAAATTAATTATAAAAATAATTAACTTTTTTGATTGATTTATTGACTTAAACTCTTTTTTTTTTTTTTTTATTGGTATTGTAAAAAATTGCTTTGTGATTGGGTGAATTTTTTGAGTAAAGTTCTTTTCCAATACAAATTACTAATTTTTAAGTGAAATAAATAACCTTTTCTGGTATTAATATCTGTAATGATTTGCATGCTGAACATAAAATAAATTTTCACTTTTATATACAATGATAGATTTAAAACTATCTAATATTTTCATTCTGCGTTAGCCTTTTCATATTTATTTGTAACATAAATGTATAAGGTTGGTCATTAATTAAGCAGATAATTGTCATTACTTTCATATTAGTAACTATCACCATACAAAATTATGCCCATTGTGTTTAGTGAAAAAAAAATCTTAAACAGATGAGATTCAAGTTATTTATAAATTTTTTTCATTATTATTCTGAAGCCTGAATTCTATTCTAAGAGATATTATCAATGATTTATCTTCTTTATCATTTGCCACTAAGACTATATAAATGTAACAAAGATTAAAAAACGCAGGTAAAGTAACAAGCATAATGTATGTAAATGACTCTTGAACTAACCTAAATAGCAAAATCCATGATAAAACATCCCTATCTTTATATAAATATATTGAGCATAGCTAGTGCACAAAATTTCGTTAGTATTCTCTGGAATTGCATAGTATACATAATTTCAAATGTTTTTAAAATTCAGTACTCACAAACTTTAAGTTTATTATAGTAGAAAAGGGAGAAAGTAATAGTCAAGCAATAACTTGTTTACAGACATTCAGTATCACCTAGAATTGTTTTTTTGTGTGTGATTCAGTTAAAGAATAATTTCAAGTTATTGAAATTTTAGCAGTTTTTATGTGACTATTGTTGAAAATTGACAAAAAGCAATTAAACTTGCAATTTTTCAATTTATTTTGCTCTTCTCATTATTTCATCTGTACTTTGGTATTGATCCCTTGCACTGGCAAGAGTCTACAACTGAAATAAATGACAGACACATTGCTTTATTAAGGAGCATTACAAAATTTTAAATTTTTTCTCTCAGCTTGTAGATTAGATCTAAAAGCAAAATTTATAATTACCAATATCAATGTATTTAAAAAATAAGTTATTACACACAAAATCATACCAAAAAATTATCATGTCTTAGCAAAGGCAAAAATAGTGCTTATAGATGGACTTATTTTTCTTCAAACATCAATTTTACTTTCATGTTTGAATAGAATCACAAAATCAATAATTTTAATTCAATAAATTTGTTTCCCTTTAATTCATATACACTTTAAGTAGATGTATTTTGTAACTTCTTTAATCATTATGGTATGTTAAAAATTCTTTAGACATTTTTTGTCAAGAGATGACATTTGAAAGCTTCTGAAATAAAAATTTCATTTGATTTTTTTTTTAACTCATTTTTTTACAATTGCATTGATTCATGACTCAAGTTAGAAATAATACACATGCTGCTATTTATATAGAGTATTTCCTTTCATCAATTAAATTAATTAAAAAATAATAATTTATCTTCAACAAATAAATTTAAAAGATTTTAAAATTAATATAATGTGAATTATATAAAAACAAGGAATGTTTTAGTTGTTGGATGTACTGACTAAGCAAAACGTGTTACATGCAGTGAAACCAGGTGGGACATCTGGAGAATATCTTTCATGTAGAAGAAGACCCTATCTCAGCTCTGATTGTTTCTTGCAATTTATTTGTAATACAAGGATGGTTATTGACTTCCTTGCCCCCAAAAAGGGATTTTCTCTTCCACTGTGTCATGTCAGTTACTTATTTGTAAAGAATTCCCTTTAAATCACACATTAGATTTCATTAAGTTGAAATATTGAAAGTTATCCTGGATCTTGATTTTCTTTATAGATTTTCATAAAAAATCCCCATTAGTAACTACCTTGAACAAAAACAATTCTGTACTGAGCAACAAGAGAAAATATTTTTAATACTGATCAATGTTTTTTTCTTCTTTAAGTTTTCTTCATATTTCCTAAAGTTTGTAAATGTTGTTCACTGATTGCAGCACAAGCAATAAAGAGATGAGTAAACTTCAAAGACAGTTAACATTATGCATAAGATAATGCTAAGAACTTTTGCATATATTTTTAACTTATTTTTATTGCATTATAATACCACTAATAAATAGGAGATACTTATTTTTATTGCTATTGACAATTGTTCTAAGAAATAATTATTGTTGGAGCAACCAAAAATGTTCTTGCTAAAGCAATCCAATTAAGTGCTTTTTTCCCCTCTTATTAAAATGTTTCTAATATACCACTCACCAAACTCCAAGTAGGTCTTGTGAACTGTCAGTCCAGAAGTACTTCTATATATCAAGGTCTTCGGTTAGTAGGGAGATTGTATCCATTATCAGTTTACTAGGTATGTCACATAGCTGGTATTGCCCAGTAGTCACACATCTGAGTAAAGCTCAACATTGCTTAATGTTGGTGATCAGATGAGAACAGGTGTTTCAACATGACTCAACACTTGTAAGTCTCCTGAAAATTTTACAAGCACATAGAGAAAAATTCCTTAAAGATTTCATTGATAATAACAATTATTGAACCTCCACTCAATTTTTTGTAAGTATTGATTTAAAAAAAATAAAAATGATCTTTTAATATATACCGTTTTAAATAATCATAATTTTTAGTATAATTATCATTTTTAAAATGTTTAAATACTAAGTAAAAGTTTAGTGAGGTCAATAGATTTCTAAATTATGTGTATTTTCTTCAGATGATAGCTGGAATTTAATGTTTTTGTACCAATTCCTAATTATCAATAAATAAACAAATTGATAGATAAAACGTGGAAGAGGGGAGATTAATACGTGCAAGATTACCTCATTTTTACACATCTAGCCACAATACGAAGAAACTTTGATAAAATAGAAACTGCAATTACATGATTCTTGGAAACAAGTGTATAATCTGAATAACCTATCTTGTAGTAGTCATTGATCAAGACATTAGTATTTTCACCTTTTGTTAATTTTCTTTTTCATATCTTGGGATAAAAATCAAATTTTCCTTAAAAAAATGAACAAGGAAATTAGGTACTTCCAACAATTTTGTTTTACTAAAAGACATTCAATGCACAAAGAAAAAAAAAGAAGTATACTGAGGAAATAGCAGCTGTCTGTGTCTATTGAGGAATGCTGCCTTTCTCTCCTTTCCATATTTCCTTCAGTTCCACTTTACAGCCAAGATCCCTGAGAGTCCCTTTTATTTCATCACTGCCATATTTTTTTAAAGCTTCATTGGCCAAAGCTTCAGTGCCTAATTCCAGAAATGGTGAACAGTTCTTTTGGGAGCGGGCAACCAAGTTACGTACAGCCATGCAAGCCTGTCTCTGAAAAGTGAAATAAATTAGACAGTTGAGGAGTTTTTTTTTAAATATCAAGTAATGTCTAAATAACTAGTTTTATTAGTGAACAAAAAGAACATTTATATATAAGTTTTTACTAAGACATTTGTATAGAAAATTTCAAATGAATTTACATTATTCAAATAAAACTGATTTAAATGATATGATAGATATTTTCTTGAGATACATTAAATTAGAGTTGGTCAGTTTGGCAATTTATGTTTCCGTTTTTTTTTCCTTGATACCATGGTTTTTGATTTGGTTTTTAATTTAGTATTTTTGCTTTCTAGTGAAGCCATTCATTTTGTAATGATAGCTATAGCATTTCTAGTTGATATCTGATTTAATTTGAGAATGATAAATTTTCAACTTAGTCCATTCAAATCACAATATTTTGTGTATTTATGGTCCAATCTTAAAAATATTCATATGGCAGGAAAGAAAATAAAATAATCTTTCTAAATATGTAATTTGTATGTGCTTTTTCATTGAATTATTTTTTTTTTACAGGAAACTATTCTGCTTCATGACAGCCAAAAATGCAAAATAGGTTTTTTTTTTTTTTTTTTTGAGATTAAATTTTACATGTTACTTTGTTGTGCAAAATCAAAGTGACCAATCTTTATCAATATTCTTGAAATTGTACACTTAAAGACATCTTAAACAAAACTGCAACCAGGAAGATGTTCATTTCTTCTCTGACACAAGGAAGCAAATTCCTTCAAAAATTATCAAGTAAGCAAAAAAAGAAAAAAGCAACTGATAGTAATAAAAGAACTTTCAAATTATTGAAACTACTGTCTGACACTAAATAGTGGTTAAAAAAGAATAATTTTTATTTTGAGTTTTAAAAAAATGGATTGCAGTTTTGAAAATACACATTTTAAAACTGAGATTAAAACTTACTTTATATTTATAATATCTAATTTTAGGTGTATTTGCCAGAAACAATTTTATTTGTAGAAAACAAACAATTTTTACACTAGAGACTCACATATCTGGAAATATACACATTTTAAAAGTGAAATTAAAAACTATTTTAATTATTCTTAATATCTAATTTAGGTGCATTCCCTAGATAAAAAACAAATTTATAAAAAAATGTCTTCATTCATTTTTCTTGTTTACAACAACTTTATTTCATGATTGGTGTACACTGGCTTACACTAGAAAACAATTATTACCCTTCTTTACAAAAAATCCAACTTCATAAAATTTAACATTAAGACGAAACTTGCAACTATTTTTCTTTATTTTTACTTGCTATTTTGTTCTTAATTTTACCATAGATTTACATAGATTTCAGATTTATTTTCTTAAAACTAGTCAATTAAATGTTTTTAACATATTTTTATTCAATCTTTTTCTCTTACAATGGTATAAATGAAAGTCTTTTTAAATAGTGTTTCTTTGGATATGGTCACTCAGTAGTGATAGCACTTAAAAACCAAACAATTTTGGTTTCATAAAAAATTTCAATGCACTTTCATGGTGTGAAGATGAAACCGAAAAAGTCGGTTTTTCAGTTAAACAGTTTTTTTTTAATTTACATGTTCTTAATTTTAAGTAAAAAAATTCTCTTTGCAAACCGTGTTTTAAGTTCTGTGATAAATTTAAAGTAGGTGCCTCTGGAGGTTTGCTAGGAATAGATGATTAGAAAAAATACCCCAAACTTAAAGGAAAGTTTTATTGTCTTTATGTTATTGTTAATGGGAACGACTAAAGAATTTTTCTTTTCTTCAATATTAAATTAAAATTTGAGTCACTTAATGTTTATGTTAGTTTTAAAAGCAGAATCCCTTGTAGAATTTAAATCATCAATTATTATTTCTTTTTGTAAAATAGAAAGACCAGTTATTGAAAAAGCTAAAAAAAAATTGGAAAGACTTGTTTTATGAATAGGATTATGGACACTGTTGTCTTTAAAAAAAAAAAAGAACTTTTATGATGGGTAGTGGGTTTTTGCAGGAATTGTTTTCATCTTTTTGAGATTTTAATTAATTCTGTATTGATTTGTACTGGTTGGGTGTTATAATTTTTACTTAACTACATTTGCTAATCATAAATGGAAAGGCTTGGTGCAGTTCAACAAACACCTGTATTTAAAGTAAATTTTGAAATTTCTTTTTATTTGCAAAAAGAGCAGTAACTATAGTAAATTTAAGGCCAGAGTACCAGAGTTAAGGTATGATTGGAATAAAGAAATCATTTTAATTGTTATGGGAACTTACCTATAACGATAATGGACTCTTCCTGACACTATAAATACTGCGCCTCTCAAGAGGTATAATGAATGAATGGTGTAACGAGTCGAGACAATATTAGTTCACTCAGAAACCAGACGGACAGTCATTACTAACACCTTCAACTTCTTGTACTATATTTCTGTTGTAATCTTTGTATCTTTGTTATTCTACTCTTGTGTTCGTGTTGTTCTTCCTTGGTTCTAACCTTGGACCATAACTGTGATGCAAGGATATTGGACCATAACAGTGGCGACAAGTGGAGGACAAACCTTTTTGCTATTTGTTGCCCATAACAGTGGTGACGAGGAACTGAAGAAACAAATTCTATGCAGAGGACAAACTTTTTTTGCTATCCGTCAGCCATAACAGTGGCAACAAAAAACTGAAGAAACAAACTCTACGCGGAGAACCTAAAAAAAAAAAAAGTATACTCAAGAAACAAGTTCTACACGGAGAAATCCTAAAAAAGTATACTCAAGAAACAAGCTCTATGCGGAGAATCTACAAAAAACTATTTGCTATTGGTCGTCCATAACAGAGGCAACGTAGGTAGTGAGAAAAACGCGAACATCAGGAAAAAAAAAAAAAAAAAAGAACATTTTCTTTTTGGGACACCAACATTACAGTAGTAACAAAGACACAAATTCTACACGGGAATTTTTTTTCTTCCGTACGAAGGTTTCAGAATAACAGAAAACAAAGACCTGAAGTCTAAACTAAAAGAAAAATATTTACACATAATTACGGTAAATATGGAAGATTTTAAGGCAACCATATTGGAACTTATGAAAATACAATTTGAGCAGCAACAGGAAAACAAACAGAAGGATCTGGAACTACAAGAATTATTGCTACAGGTAATAACAAATAAAGGGCAAAATTCCAAAAATGAAACGGTTCTCTTGCAAAATACTATATGGAACTCTATCGAAGATTTCACATATAAACCAGACGAAGACAAAACCTTTGCAGCTTACTTCAGAAGGTACGAAGATTTATATGAGTTTGATTGTGGGAATTGGTCAGACGTGAGAAAAGTACGTCTACTACTAAGAAAATTAGGGTCACTAAATTTGTAGACTACATCCTACCGAGGAAAACAAATGAGTTAACTTTCAAGGAAGCCATAAAACTGTTAACAGAACTATTTAGCCCAAATACCTCACTATTCCACAAAAGATGGAAATGTCTGAATCTAACAAAAAAGGACAGCAAAGACTATATATTCGCTTCCATTGTAAATAAACACTGTGATGACTTTAAGTTATCTGAACTCAGCCTGGACAATTTTAAATGTTTAATATTCATTCAAGGCCTGGTTTCGACGAAAGACGCGGAGATCAGATGCAGAATTCTTACAAAACTGGAGAGTGAACCAGATTTGACGCTACAAAAATTGACTGATGACTGTCAGAGATGTGTGAAGAAGGACTCGAAAGATATAGAAGAATCTGGCATCGCGCACATACGTAAAGTACAACGACAAACACGTTTTTGCACATCCTCAAAAACAAACCAAACCAATTTTCCCTCCTCAAAAACAGATCAAACAAATTTTTCTACTTCAAAAAGTCAATATCAGAAAAAACTACCACCCAGTCCATGCTATCGCTGTGGGACTTTGCATTGGTATAAAGACTGCCCATACTGCTTTAAGACTTGTCTGTCATGCAAAAAAGTAGGTCATAAAAGTTCTCATTGTTGGACTAGGAAAGAAAGCAAAAGCAGAGTAAGAGTCACGGGGACTGACCAAGCAGACGAGACAACCATACGAAAATACGTGCAAGTAGAAATGTTAAACAGAAAAGTCAGACTACAACTGGATTCCGGATCAGATTTAACTATTATTAACGTACAAACATGGAGAAAATTGAACAAACCGACCCTGTTCAGAACCGATAAAATTGCTAGGTCGGTAACTGGGAGAAAAATAAAATTTGAAGGAGAAGTTATTACAAATGTGACATTCAATGGAATGACCAAAAATTAAAAATGTATGTGCTAAGAAATACAGAAAATTTATTTGGAATGGACTGGATGCAGAAATTCGACCTCTGGGATTTACCAATAAGTACGTACTGCCAAAAAGTGAAAAGTTTATCGACTGAGGCAGATAAATTAAAGGAGAAACTAAAAGAGAGTTTCCACGAAGTATTTTCAGCCGGCCTCAGGAGGTGTAAAAAAAATGGCAGCAAATATACAAATAAAAGAAAATGTACAACCTATCTTCAAGAAGAAAAGGAATGTACCTTTTGCTTCAATAGAAAAAATAAATCAAGAGTTGGAATATAGCCAATGGGCCACACCTACGGTTTGCGTCAAAAAGAAATCGGGGGAGATACAAGTATGTGCCGATTTCTCAACGGGATTAAATGCAGCGTTTAAGGATTACCACTATCCTCTACCCAGTCCAGAAGAAGTTTTCACAAAACTAAACAGAGGAAAATTTTTCTCAAAAATAGACTTGAGCGAAGCGTACCCACAAATACCAGTAGATTAGGAAAGCTCGAGATTATTGTGCATAAACATACACAAAGGATTATACAAGTTCCAAAGATTACCATTCGGGATTAAGGTCGTGCCGGCAATATTTCAACAGATAATGGATACTATGCTAGGCGGACTTGATTTCACAATTGCATACCAGGATGACATACTGGTAAATAGCAAAAACATTGAGCAACACTGGGAACATGTTTTTAGGAGAATACAAAACTATGGTTTCAAGGTAAAAGAAAA